CAAGTATTAGTTCTAAATGGTTAAAACCAGGCAAGGAAAATGAAATGATTTTCCGATTCAAGGTGTCACGAAGGGATGTCCATGCAGGTCTTGATTTAATTCATGCAAATTACTGAGTGTTTGACAGCCAACATAAAAAATGGAACTGAAGCTAATAGCAGGACTTGAGGTAGGGTCTTTTATTCGATCAATCTATCTGCCTCACGGAATTTATTGAGCTACTGCATTAAATTCGATCATATTTTTGCTAATAAATGTCTATATACTCATCTTATAGACGATGTTTAGCCGTGTTGACTAGTAAAATTCTGGAAGAATGCCTCTTACTGAATGCCTTGTCAACGCTATCTTCTGGTACTAGATGGCAGACTAAATCGACTCGCAGATCATTAATCGGTATCCTCGGTTTATGTATTCATGATGCGCCATCGAAGTCAAGTGAACAGCATGAAAACAAAATTTATCATATATTAATATAACTAATAGGTAACCATTTTCACTATAAAGTCTAATATTCAGCGATTTATAAAATAAGTATAGCATAGTTAGCCTAAAGGGGGTAAAATACTTCCCCTCGCAATAATTACTAACCTTAGACAGTTTGTGCAGCTTAACGTGTATAACATCACTCAGCTGCCAGCCGGAGTAGCGCTTAAACTGTTCTATGCCTATACTTGAATCAGGAACCTCTGAACGAAGGTCAGTATCAGACTTTGTTGCTGGTTGCGCTGCATTCATGGTAGACATCGCAGGCCAACCACCGCAAACTCTTGCCTCCTGATTACAACCGGGAGCAATGAGGGGGGTCGAACCAGCCATCCAATTTGGAACGGGGGCAAACCGAAGGGTCAAAAGACAATGGGGATCTGTGCGTGATGTGGTTGCTGAATTTGTATACAGATCAACATCTGCCGACACAGATACAGTACCAAGTGATGAACAAAGAGAACCTGTGATAGAATGGAGCACAGAAAAGCGCTGAAGGCGAGTCAACAGAGTGTCGGTCCGCAAAATTTCGACGAGGCCAGCTTTGGCTCCAACGACTAGCATACCCTGGTCATATGGGGAGAGAGCCAGCTCAATGATGCTCTTCTGAGCAGACGAGAGGCTAAAAACGGCAAGAACGCAAAACAGTAGGATCGCATTTGAATGATATTGAATGATGCAACAATAATCAAGCATCGGTAGAAAAACATAAAACTTTATAGCACTAAATAGCATACGAATATAGGGTCGCTTCTTTTATCAAAACAATCAATAACCAAAAATAATCGATAGTGGACGGGATTTTAGCGATTAAGAAAAGATTTGTCCGTATTAAGAATCGCACCAGATTAAGGATGGGCCATGTGTTGAGTG